CAATTATATGCATATTCAATACAATAATATGTTAATTTAATTCAATGTGATGCATATACAAATATATTGATTCAATTCATAGCAAATATCAAATTCACATAATTCAACAATTATGATTATGAGGCATACACAATTTATGTAGAATCTATAATATGTAAAACGTACAGTTGGGTCATGCATCATGGTGAATGTTCATGCTATTAGGGCTGCAAAAATATCGAGATAAAAACCGTTGTTTTGAAATAACCTGATTGTGTGGTGATATGGATGAACTGGTTTGATGCAAAAAAATACTTCAACGTCAGATTCCTAAAGCGCAGCGGTAGGAGCGTGCTGATAACGTGTTGTGGTCTATTTTATCTGACAAGGAGAGAGAGGGCCGGTGGCAAGGAGAAGAGAGAGAGATGTGTGTGTTGAATTGTAGGGGAATGTGTGTGTTGTTATCCCTCCTACATTGTGCCTTTATTTATAGTAGTAAAGGGAGAGATGATATTCCTTCATCCCCAAGAAATACAAGATACAATAGGAAAAGATAACTAGAATCAAATCTAATCTAGGATTTACACAATCATACTTAAACTAGAAATGTTTACAACAAAACAGAGATTTTTGGAGTGCTAATAACAGTTCCCTAAAGTAATTGTTTACTCAACATTTATGGTGTAATCTTTTGATGTATTTGAAATAGTCACATGACAATTATTATTTTACTCGAACTATAAGCAGGTGAATTTTTTTTTTTAATTAGTTACTAGGGTACTCTATATATACCATAAATCAATTATACAATGCGAAGGGATCGGTTCCAGTACCACGCCATAATTTTTCTGTTTAATTGACCAAAAATTGTCTGTAATCAATGTAGGTGACCCGTCTGAAATGTGGAGGTTTCGTATTTGCAATGCGCATGAACCACACGATGTTTGATGCAGTTGGGCTTGCCCAGTTCTTGAACGCAGTTGGCGAGATTGCACGAGGTGCACATGCACCATCAATCCCACTTATCTGGGAACGAGAACTCTTGAACGCCCGAGAGCTGCCGCAGGTTACGTATATGCATCACGAGTACGGGGAAGAGAATGAATCGCAGGCAGAGGCTCCGTCATTGCGTCCATGGATCAGTCAGACCTCGTCCAGCGGTGTTTCTATTTCGGTCCTATGGAGATAAGGGCTGCCAGGAAACATCTTCCACCAAACCTTAGTAACACTTGCTCCACATTTGAGTTCATAACAGGGTACTTGTGGAAATGCCGAACCATTGCACTTGCAATGTATCTGAACGAGGTTGTTCATGTCCGCTAGTCGTCAATGCACGTGGAAAGCGCAAAAATCTCAATGTTCCTTTGGGATTCTATGGCAATGCAATTGGATGCCCGGGTGTGGTTTCAACAGCTGAACTCTTGTGTAACAGTTCACTGGAATACGCGGTGGAGCTGGTACCAATGTGCTTACCCTTCTGGTGTCTGGAGAAGATTGAGCAGCAACTAAAAAGGATAACTATGGAGCCTGTGGTCATACCGAAACAAGATTCAAACACTTGCCCAGGTGCTTAATTATTATGTGTTGCTGGATTTTGACATATTTGGGTTATGCTAATTTCTCTGGTTTTTGCTTTTTTATTTTCTACTATATCACAAAAAGAAACAAATAAGGAGAGAGGGAGCCAAGGCACGGAGGTGTATTTGTTTCTTCTCTTGGTAGGTAGTGGTTTCTGTAAACAAATATTGATGAATAATATATTGCGAAAGCAATATTTTGGATTTTGGATTTTGGATTTATTTGTTAATATACGCATCCATGATCACTTGTATTGATATTCATATATACAGGAATGAGGATTAGTTGTAGGGTTCACACCACATCGAATTTTAACAATTCAAACCATCTATTATTTTTTTTTAAGTTGCCCCTCAAAAATCATCTTTATAAAAAATTAGTCAAATAAGAAATATTTGTGGTATCTAGTTGAGTTAAGAAAATTTGACAGACACTTTGTTCAAAGAAAATATTGAAATTTCGTAGTGAGAATTAAATAAGCAAATGATTTCGAATTGAAAACTAAATCAAATTACAGTTAGCATTCATTCGGATCCAAATTAATACTTTACCGCTTCCTTCGATGTTTAGGATTGACTTGACTTGGACAACTAACTAAATTTAATGAATGTTAAATGAAATATGGATGCCAACTAAGAGATTTTTCAATATGTCATGAACACGGCTCGGTATATCAAGTCTAATAATATAAATGATTGAAAATTTGTAAAAAAGATTTTCAATCACTTGTACTATGACATTTGGCTTGTTGGCTGTTTTCTCGCCACATTGATGAATTTCTCATGCCAACTTGCATATTTTGCCCATTAATCCAATAGAAATCACAAATATTGTCTCATAACTTACATCTTACCACAAACACATCACAACAACGTAACGTTTCTATTTTTATTTTTATAAAAGACTTTAAAATGATTAAAAATGAAAACACTCAATTTTATTCATGTTTTTACTATTCAACCTCCAGTACCATCTCCTTTTTATCTAAATTAAAATTTGTGAATATTTCCATGATTTCATAAGATACCACATATCTTGAACTTTCAATCTAAAATTTCTTGGTAGTGTTATATCTATGGATTAAAATTTTAAATCTTCTATTTCTTTGTGAAAGGCCTTATCAGAGACAATGCTTGGATTCCCATAAAGGTTTATTATAACAAGAATTGCTTTCATATTATATGGGAAGGGGGTTAAAACATTAATTGTTATATGTGCAAGTTAGAACTGTTAGATTAGATGAAGGTCTAAGGTGGAGTCTCTGGTTACCTCATCTTTCAATTATTCAAAGACTGGAGTCTTGTTCGATCGTTACATCTTTGTTTCGTTAGTTTTGTAATAATTGAGTTTAGTCTTCATTCCTCGGTAGTGGTTTTCCGTGCCTTAGCTAGCCATTGCTGTTGGAAAGTTGAACTGTCATCAGAAACTGTACGTATAGCAAAACTATTTTAAATAATGGATAAATGTTTGTGTCCCTTCATGGGAGGACTTACTTGTCTCTGTACTTACTATTAACAATTTTTTACCGCCTAAACATCATAAGAGGAATTGTTCATTTTCTTTATCATCATCTAAAAATCATATACGTAAAATGTCCTTCAATTTGGAGATCGTTTATGTTGGTGTGAGTTGACTATATGTATAATTAGTAAGATTTTACGCGTTTGATTCCTTGTATTTGGGATAGGGGGTATTACTCACTCTTGCTTGTAAACAAATCAGTATTACACACACACACACACACACACACACACACACAAATATGAGTAAATTATACAAAACTACGTTAATTATGGGTCGAACCACAATCTTATACCTTATTATTTTAACATTGCAATGTTATACCTCAACTTATGAATTTGTTACAATGTCAGAACTCCGTTAAATTTTTTGTCAATTTGGCAGTTAAATGATGACATGGCAGGAGCAGGGCCTATTCCATTGTGAGAAGAATACAATTGAAGAATTAAACCCAAGTCTAGTGTGGTATTAGAGTAGGCTATTTTCTTGACGCGTCATGGGCTCGAACATGTTTCCTGAAGAAAAGACGTGCTAGCTCCAACTTAAGGCAACTAAATGATTGGGCTTAGAAAAGAGTGGCATTGGCTCTAGAGATTGAATACCGATTGACCGAGCCTTCGAAAAGTTTGACGTTAGTTCCAGTATAATGACTTGACCAACTTTCAATGTGGGAATTGGTTTCCCATGTGATCCCGTGTGGGGCCATTCGTGAAAAAGGGGGAAAGGGAGGGGAGGGGAGGGGATGTGTTGAGAATATGATCCCACATCGGTCACATGACAAAAAAAAATATACAATTAATATATGGAAGTTTCCACCCCTAATATCAATGAGGATTTTTGTGATAAAACTCAACACATAGTAATAGGTAGTTGGGACAAAATTGGTGATATTGGTGGTGGAACTGCATAGGCCTATAAGTTTACTAGTTTAGTCATCTATATGTGTTAAACCAATCAACGGATTTGGTAACAAGTAGCATCCTCATGATGAACCGTCCATTTATTTTATGTATATGAATGACTACAAGATTTCCAAATTGAATAATCTTTTGCATGTATGATAATTAGATGATGAAGATAATGAGGACGAAACATTTTCAACTATGATACTCGGACGGTATAAGTTTGTTAAACTTAAGTGGGGACAAGTAAGTCCCCACACATGCATTATCCTTAATTAATTATTCAGTCTAGCAAAACTATATTATTGAAAAAAATTTATATTACGTGTGTCCTAAAATAACTTGCAGAACTATATTGATCAGTCTAGCAAAACTATTTAAATAAATAATTCAGTGTAGCAAACTATAATTAACTGAGTGTAGCAAAACTATTGAAATTAATGATTCAGTGTAGAAAAACCATATATAGGGTAAAAGTAGGAGAGACTTTTCGGTATGCTGAAAATATAATCCGGTATACTAAATGTAATAATAAAATTGGTTGAAAAATTAAAAAAATCCAAAGTGTATTATAGGGAAAAAAAAAAAGATGTTTGCATGTAGAAGATCTGTGTCGGCCGGCTGCGCATGCGTCAAGAAATTTAATAATAATTTTAAGACGTAGAAAAGAAATTCTATCATGGCGTCATGAGGGTGGCGGCATAATATATATACGCACCAATTATCCATTGGCCCTCGCTGGCTGGCTAGCTAGCTGTTGGATGTTGATCTGTCCTTATCTCTGTATGTAGGGCAAATAAAGAACTCTTTGTCTTCTCCATTGATGCATCTCTGTGGAAAATATGGAAGAGAATGCTTTTTCTCATTTATATTTCTCTACAAGATTACAAGGATATATATACATGATACAAGTGTGTAGGTAGGACAAGGTAGCCGTCCTAGTGTGTAGGTAGGACAAGGTAGGACGGCTGTAGGACGGCTTGACGGCTGTAGAACGGCTTATTCTTCCAATACTCCCCCTCAAGCTGGATCAAGGAGGTTAATTGATCCAAACTTGGAGAGCAGACTTTGAAACTGAGGAAAAGCAAGAGACTTCGTGAAAATATCAGCAAGTTGATCTTGGCTTCGAGTGAATGTGGTTTGAATTACCTTGGACTGGACTTGTTCCCGAACGTAGTGACAGTCAACTTCAATGTGTTTGGTGCGTTCATGGAACACCGGATTGGAGGCAATATGCATAGCTGCTTGATTGTCACAGAAAAGAGACATAGGTGTGTTGATTGAGAACCCCAAGTCCGAGAGAAGGCCCTTGAGCCAAATGAGTTCACATGCAGTGGAAGCCATGGCTCTATACTCAGCTTCGACACTTGAGCGAGCAATTACATTTTGTTTTTTGCTCTTCCATGTCACGAGGTTTCCTCCAACCAACGTGCAGTAGCCAGTAGTGGATTTTCTATCAATAGCATTCCCTGCCCGGTCAGCATCGGTGTAGGCAATGATTTGAGTATGACCATTGTTTTTCATGACGATTCCCCGACCAATGGAGCCTTTGAGGTATCTGAGAATTCTTTTAACAACATTTAAATGAGCTTGAGTGGGTGCATGCATGAATTGGCTTACAAGACTGACGGCGTAAGTTATATCCGGTCTGGTGATGGTGAGATATATAAGCTTACCCATCAATCGTTGGTAGTAACTGATATCACTGAGAGGTTCTCCTGTCAAGTCCAACTTCAATTTGCTATCAAGAGGAGTACGAGTTGGTTTGCAATCCATCATCTTCACTTCTTGAAGTAAGTCAATCACATATTTCCTTTGACTCAAAAAAAGTCCCTTGGGGGAAGTGGCCAGTTCAATCCCAAGGAAGTATTTTAAAACTCCTAAGTCTTTAATGGAAAATTGTTGATGAAGAGAATGTTTAAGAGTGTGAATCTCATCAATGTTATCACCTGTGATGATGATATCATCAACATAGATTAGTACAACTAATTTGCCAACTGATCCTATTCGAACAAATAGGGAGGAATCAGCATGACTTCTCTTGAACCCAAAATTTTCAAGTACCGAGCTCAGTTTGGCATACCAGGCACGAGGAGATTGTTTCAAGCCATAGATTGACTTATGAAGCTTGCAAGCCATACCTGAATTCTGTGCTTGTGGATGACCCGGGGGTAGTTGCATGTAGACTTCCTCTTCGAGGTCTCCATGTAAAAAAGCATTTTTTACATCCATTTGGTACAATGGCCATTCATGGTTCACTGCAACAGATAACAAAACCCTTATTGTGCTCATCTTAGCCACGGGAGCAAATGTCTCCTTATAGTCCACTCCAAAAGTTTGAGTAAAACCGCGAGCCACCAATCTTGCCTTGTGTCGTTCAATTGAGCCATCAGAATTAAACTTGATTTTATAGACCCATATACTGCCTACCACCTTCTTGCCTTTGGGAAGTTGAACTACACTCCAGGTTTTATTTTCATTCAAGGCTTTGAGTTCTTCTTCCATGGCTAGCCTCCACACAACTTGACGATTGGCTTCTTGAAAGTTCCTTGGTTCACTTTCATAGGACAGTTTACTGAGGAAGACTGCATGAGAGTGAGAGACTTTGGAGTAATTTACAAACTTATGAATAGGGTACCTGGCATGGTAAGTTTCATAGTCTTGCAGCCTTGATGGTGGATGTCAATCTCAAGTCGGATTCCTGCGGGGTTGAGCTGGGATCACAATAGGTTCAGCTCCACTCTCTTGTATAGATGTTGTGTTATGGTCATGGGGAACTACTTGTGCTTCTGAGGCTTCAGTGTCGTCTCCAATAAGCAGGTTGTCATTAAGAGTTGCATGAGAGTCCCGGTTGTGAAGTAGTGAATGGACACAGTCACTTGGTTCGATTGGATTTGGCAATGGGAAGAGATCTAGGAAATGCTCCCCCTGACGATTTTGATCTGATGATTTGTTGAAATATGGTTGGTTTTCATCAAACCGTACATCTCTTGAGACAAACATCTTCCTGGAGCACGGATTGTAGCATTTGTACCCTTTTTGGGTGGAGGAGTATCCCATGAAAACACACTTGACAGCTTTGGGATCAAGCTTGTCTCGGTGATGGGATTGAATATGAACATAACAGGTACATCCAAATATTCTCAGATGGGAAAGATTAATTTTTTTGTTTTGCATAACCTCAGATGGTGATTTTGTATCCAGAACACGACTAGGCAGTCTGTTGATAAGGTAGGTGGCTGCAAGAACTCCTTGAGACCAAAACCTCTTAGGCACATTCATTTGCAACATTAGCGCCCTGGTTTTTTAAAGTAGGTCCCGATTCTTCCTTTCGGCAATTCCATTTTGCTGAGGAGTACCTACACAACTTGTTTGATGTATAATTCCATGGGTGCTCAAATAGTTAGTCATATTTTTGGATGTATATTCAGTGCCATTATCAGACCTTAGTATGTGGATTTGGGACGAAAAATGGTTCATGACAAGATTATGAAAGTCCTTGAAAGCATCCATAACTTCACTTTTGAATTTTAGGAGGTACAACCAAGTGGCTCTTGAGAAATCATCAACAAAGATAACGTAGTACCTATAACCATCAAAAGACTCTAGAGGTGCAGGTCCCTAAACATCGGAGTGCACCATCTCAAACAACTTGCTAGTCCTAGACATGGAAGAATTGAATGGGAGTCTAGTAGATTTTGACAAATGACAAATTTCCCATACAAGGGAGGATTTGCATAAACTAGGGAACAACGTAGACAACACAGATTCTGAGGGATGTGCTAAGCGTTGATGCCACAATCGATGTTCTAGGTTTGAGCTGACTTGGAACCCCTTTGGAACATTGAGGTCCTCTGAAAAATAGTAAAGCCCATTTAGGTAGTGACCTTCACCAATCAACTTCTTGATGGCTAGACCCTGAAAAACAACATTGTGGGGGGAAAAAATTGCACGACAGTTTAGAGAGTTTGTAATCCTTCCTACGGACAATAATTGAAAAGGAAAAGATGGAACATATAACGCTGTGGACTCAACAGTTTCTGAGATCAGTTTAACTTTCCCTCTACCTATAACTGGCACACCTCTACCATTTGCTACAGAAACTAGTGATGGTTTAGTGTGGCTTTCAAAATCGTATAGCTTAGAATATTGATTTGTCATGTGATCTGTGGCACCTGAGTCTATAATCCAAAAATCATGAGAGTGACTAACATTTAGAGCAGTTGAAAGAGCACACATGACCAGATTCAGCTAAGAACCCTGCAAACTGTCCAAGAAGAGCAGTTTGACTTTCCCCAATCGACGTTTCACCTGTGCTTCATTTTCTGGTTTGAAGGTAGGTTGAGAACTTATTCAACAAGTCAGCCGGATTGGCTGTAAAGTTCATCGACCCACCGATGGATGTAGCAGTAGCAGCATGGTACTTGTTTGTATGTGGTCTAGCGTGTGAGCCCTTATGATCTCTTAAAGGCTTGTTCTCAAACCTTGGCTTCAACTCAGGGTGCAATATCCAGCATCTATCTATTAGATGTCCAACATTATTACAATGTAGACACTTCAGATCTGGCTTTTTTCCCTTGTATACTTTATCTCCAAATGACTTGTGATTTGTCACAAAAGCTCTAGCCTCAGACAGACTAGGTTTTACGTCAACATTCATGACTTTTCTGCGTACTTCTTCTCGCTGGATAGTAGTGCAAACACTTGCAAATGATGGAAGTTCGGGATTCATTAGAATATGGCTTCTAAGATCTTCATATTCAGAACCCAAACTTGCAAGCAAATGAAAGATTTTGTCTTCCTCGGACCTTTTTAACAGTACGGCAGCATCGATAGTGTGTGGTCGATACATTTCTAGTTCGTTCCACATGTTTTTCATGCAACCGAGATGATGAACAAAGGATTTATCACCTTGTTGAAGACTTGCAAGATTCCTCTTAAGCTGGAACACTCGAGCAGCATTGTTTTGATTTCCATACATGTCCTTGACTGCCTTCCAAAGAGCACTAGAGGATTCTGAAAAACTGAAAATTTCAGACAGCTTAGGATCCATGGAGTTGAGGAGCCACGACATGACCAACTGGTCTTTGCACAGCCATGCTTCATACTCCGGTGATGTGACGTCAGGTGCTTCAATACTTCCATTGACGAATCCAAGTTTGGATCTTCCTCCAAGGGCAAGAGATATTGATCTGGACCATGGAAGATAGTTAAACTCATTTAACAACACAGAACACAAACGTTGGTTTGGGTTGACTTCAACTTCTGGAAAACTAGGGCGAGGAGCTGTGAAGCTTTCAGCTTCTGAGTCAAAAAGATTATCTTCTGCCATTATCGAAACAAATGTGCAGAAGAAGAGAAGAGACAACAATGGAGTCAGGCCGGTTAAGGTTCCGGCTCTAATACCATGTGGAAAATATGGAAGAGAATGCTTTTTCTCATTTATATTTCTCTACAAGATTACAAGGATATATATACATGATACAAGTGTGTAGGTAGGACAAGGTAGCCGTCCTAGTGTGTAGGTAGGACAAGGTAGGACGGCTGTAGGACGGCTAGTGTGTAGGTAGGACAAGGTAGGACGGCTGTAGGACGGCTTGACGGCTGTAGAACGGCTTATTCTTCCAATAATCTCAGATCTTTTAAACTTCTACCTATTAAACAAAGTCCAAAACCACTGCAAGTTGCAACCAGTTATATAGCTAGTTGCGTCCAGAGTCCAGGGTACGGACTCTTTTCGTTTCTGGCGCAAAACCAGAGCACGTGAAAATAGCTGTTGGAGTTTTGGTCCACCGATTACGGAAGCTCTGGGACCAGGCGATAGCTTAGTGCCGTTCCCTCTTGCTGATTCAGTCGACTCGATCGCTTCCATATTTAACACGTTGCAAGAGGACAACTCTAACTCTGGTTTGGATATAAATTGTATCAACTACATTTCGTAGACAAGTGTAATGCGTTTGTAATATATTACTTCTAGATTTCAGGTGTGTCGTAGTTTCGAGGTGTAAGTATTGAAAACGTGCACATCAAGGCATATATTGGAGTATCATGTGCATTCAGGAAACGAGAACCACATCATTGCATATCTTGAAGATTGTAAGATCAGTTTAATTGCCTAGTTTTAAGAAATAAAGTAGTGTAAACTTGCAAGTGCACAAGACAGTCATAATATAGTGTTTTGCAAGTCCAAGTATTGTTCCCACAAGGATTCTAATTCAATTTCCAATTTGATAAATTAAACCGAATCTAATTATGTCAAAGACACACAAACACGAAAATATAAATCCAAACAATGAACTAGACTTAATCTTAATTAACAATTCAATCAAAGATGTGAAGAGTTTGTTGTGATGATTTTAAGAACAAAAACAGATCATAAAATTAAAACTAAGATTAAAGAGAAGAAAATGTTGAGTTTTAATGCAAGTGATTAAAATCTATGGATTCAGAATCAACCACAAGCAATCCAATTTACGTTCAATGCATTCAATAGAATATTTTGTCTCTTAGATGACAATTCCCATATCTAAGTCTGGTTAAGGCACTAAAGACCATAGTTCTCCATAAGTACATGATTCTCTCCATTTAGGGCATAGATCGTCCTAATATGTAGTTTATCCGTTTAGGGCATAAATTTAACATGTAGAACTCATTACATACAAGAAAACCAGAGAATCATGCAAACCATAAATCTTGTTACAACATCTATTTATTCACAACCCCTATTCACAAGAAGCTAGTTCGAATTACATTGCAGTTACGCCTCAAATCCGTCTTCAAATTACTGTATGCAAAACCCTAAGGTGACCAGTCAAAGAACTTCAACACAAAGCATTCAATTCTTGTAGTGAATAAGAATTCATCCAATAAAACTGAATATCCATCAAATAGTTATTGAAAACCATAAACATTCATGCTAGGGCATCATGCTAGCCCTAGAAAAGGGTTTAGTTATTCATTGAGTACAAAAACATAATGAAAAGTCTAGAAAAGAACATGAAAAACTTATGAACGATATTGAAATACAAAAGAATCGAATGAGGGTAGATGGCTGCAGCTTTTCATCTTCAAAATGTCACAGAGAATCCTCCAAAAGAACGTTCTTCAGGCTTCCGACAATCTCACTTTCATATATTCGTCAAAATCCTAGCATGATTAGGTCTTTTGAAATCTTTTTCCTCATTTGTATTGGACAACTGATGATGTGGCGAGTAAACTTTCCAAGAAAATTA